ACAAAACACAAACATGTGACAAAACAAGCTCTAAACTCAGTGGGGCTGACATCCATGGTTCATCATGTCTCAGCCTGACTGTGCACCAGCACATTTTATACTCAGAGAAGTGTCATGACACAGACAGGATTTTTCTTTGCACTCAGCACTGAAGTGCTGCACTCAGTCAAGCAGTTGTGTGGAAATAGGCTGCCTTCTGCCACATCGGCCCAGCTTTTCTCTTTCAGCCATTTTTGGTTTGCTAGTTGTGATTAACAGCTTTTCTGGAAATGGTAGGGTTGCAGCAGTTCAAAATATTGGGCTTTGTCATGTAGCATGTAATACTTTTTTTTCTTCTGGTGAGCAGAGCTGACGTCTCACAAAAGAACTGAATCGAAATGGGATTCAGAATAAGAACTGGGCCACTTCACCTATAGCCGCAAACAGCAGAATGTGGGCATTTATTTTCCTTTCTGTTTATTTGATTGTTGTTTTCTTTGAATAAATTTAACAAAAAATACCACGTGAATGTGATTTTCTTTTTGCTAATAGTATTTTTCTTTTTAAAAGTAAAAACTGGCATATTTTTACTAGTGTTATCCAGTGTCATTCAAGTTCAGCCTTCTCAGTGGTTCAATAGTCATTGTAGAATTTTTATAAAATCTCAACTTGATCTGTTTTCTTGACACTAAAAACGTTGTTTTCACACATAACATGGTGTTCATTTTTTTAGACTGAATGAATGCTTGAATATAAATTATGCTCTATTTACCTAATTATTAAATAATAGACTGGTACATGGACTAAGGTGGAGGAGATGTAAACCAGCTGAGAATTTTATTTGAATTCATCTTTCTGAATGCTGTTGTCAAAAGTCCTAATTTAGTCCATTTGAATAGAAATGTCTTTAGATAAAAAAAAAAAGAAATCATTGACTGATCAAGTAACCTTTGTTAGAAAAAGAAGTGTTTTTTTGTTTGTTTTTTTCGTATATGTATTATTCCTTTCCTGGTATAATTACTTGTGAAGTTCAGAACTGTTTCTGTTATTTCAAGGACATTGTACTCTGACCCACTGCTCACTAACTTCCCTTTATACCTCCCTGATTTAGGTCCATGGCCTTCAGTAGTAAATGCAGTTGAAAAAAAATTGACCTGTCATTAATTCTTCAGTACATCCTGAGGGTATGAGAACAGTGAGGCGGTATGTTTTGCCAACTCTCACACCAGCTCTGAGCTTTAATAATAGGTGGCCCGCTGAGAGGCTGATGATCCATGGTGCTATCCTCTTGGCTCCGTGATACATCTGCATGCGATTGTTGAATTCTGCACTGTGATACCAGGAGGAGGCAACATGCGACACATAAGTGCACATAGGCCACGAGGATTAAATGAGTCTTTAACATATGCCGTTATACTAGCACAGCTAGAGGGGAATTTATCAGCAGAATAAAATAAAAAGAAATACTAAACTGGGATTCATTAGAGGACCGTGAAAAACTGCCTCTCATTGCCAAAGCCACTTCAAATGTGAATGTGGGATTTAATGCCTAAATTTAAAACAGAAGCTAAAATAAGACAAATATTATTCATATCTATTAAGTGACAGATAATGTTGAGAACATCTTTTAGAGATTAAAAGCTTATGAAATGACCCACACACCTGGTCTGTTTAGGGTTAAGTAGGGAGAATTAAGTTGATGAAAACAGAACAGAAGGTGAAAACCACAGATGAGGTCTGGCCTTAACAAGGTCCGTGCTTTAGTTACTGCCCTCAGTGTTGAAGGCTGACATCATTAGGGGAAAGAAGGGGGTTTTGGGATTTTTTTTTTTTTTTTTTTTTCACTTGTCTTGCTGTATCATTACCATCCCTCTTGTTTCAGTTGTATTTGGTTGCAGATCTCGCTGCCTGGCTTGAGTGAAATTACTAAGGTTCTGCAACTGGAGCAGAATTGAAGTCTCCTGCCCTTCACTACCTACAAACCTACCTATATTTTTTCATATTTTCAGATCACAGAATTGGCTATATATATATATATGTATGTATATATATATATATAGCCAATTCTGTGATTTGAAAATGTGAACGTATATATACTGTATATTCTGTTTTCTTAAATTTTTATTTTTGTTTTGTTTTTTTTTAACATCCTTGACCACATCTGCACACTGGTTTAACATCGTACAACTGCAGAACTGGAAATTTCTTTGGCCGTTGTTTATAAGAGAAACCACAAGCTTCTGTTCCCCTAATGAGGGCATTGCTTTGTCTGCATAGATCAGAGTCAGGGTCTGTGTACACATCAGGAGTCTGCTTTCAGGAATGGCTGTTCTGATATTCATGGGACCTTATTGAGGCAAGGCAGTGTTGCCTAAATAATCTTCTTTGACCACAAACCCTACAGGAGAAAATGAGCAAAAATATTTTTTATTAATTATTTTTATTCAGAGAGATATCTCTTTGTTAGTGCTTTAAAAATGTTCTTTGTGGATGTACTTGTTTTATAAGCCCCCTTTGTTTGAACATCTCAGACATTCATTTATTTTCTATCTAGGATCAACACAATCTGGAGCTGAGGAGCTCTGGGGCAAGGTGACGTTCTGTAGTGCACAGGTGTGCTGTGTCTAAATCCAGCCCCACACCTTCCAAACCATTCACTAGCTATTGTCATGAATGAATCTTCAGTTATGAACATAGTTTATGTTTCAAGCATTCATGTCATTCTCCAGGTGATTGGTGATGTTTTAGCAGCCGAACTGGCCTACTGGATTACTTTTTGATTTAAAATGCTAATAAAAGAAACTTCTTAGCAGTGGTGGCTTACTGGTTAAGGAAGCAGACTTGGGTCCAGAAGGCTCAAGGTTCAAGTCCACCAGCTGCCAAGTTACCATTGAGGTGCTCTGAGCATGGCACTGTCCCCACACACTGCTCCCTGGGTGCTCAAAGCTGCCCACTCTTCACTGTGGTGATGGGTTAAAAGCAGAGGTCACATTTGGTTGTGTGCAGTGGTGTGCTGTGTCACAATGACAAGGAGTTCACACACAAAAAAAGAAAAAGACGTGCCATAGCTTTTCAAACAAGCCCTGCTGGCCAGTAGTTGTATTGCAGCAAAAACTGCTTGTGCTGTTGACCTTAGAAACAAAGTCATTTCACTAAGATTACAAGGCAAAACACAAAAATGTCTGTTGTCTTGTCAGTATTAATATTATGGAGGATGCATGTAAGAAATTTAAGCCATAAGTGAAGCCATTCACATCTCAGTTCAGGCAAAGCCATTGTTTCACAGTGTGGAACAAAGTACTCTGTACTGCGAGGCATTATGGTGTTTTATAAGTGTGTCAGGACACAGAGGTGGTATAATGTAGAGCCGTATCAAATGCATTTGTTTCCTCTGCTTGCTTATTTGCTTAATCTACCCTGTGCTCTATTTTGTTTTTTTGTCAGGGAGCAAAGACATGGTATATTTTGGCCTATGACCAGGCCAATTAGTTTGATGTATGGCCACCCCGAGACTGTGTGTATTCAGCAGAAGAAATAAATCCGCATGCTGCTGTTTCTCTCTCTTGCTCCGTCTGTGCTTCTAAAATTTGCCACTGTCTCCCCATGTGACATGAAATGCTAAGTTGCACCTTTTTTTTTTCCTGAGTCTCGGTTTTCTGTGAATTGGTGCTGGGTGTTAGTGAGAGTGTGTGAGTCAGAGAGACTTAAATACATACATCACACTCTTCATATGTTTAATTCTATTGATAAAGAAATTATCATAACATAAGTTAAGTATGAATTAATAATTAATTTTGTTCTACACACCACAGGGTAATGTGTAAAAAATGTTAAAAAAATATTGTGTATAATATGTGTTCATCTTTTATTGTTTGGTTACTACACATTATTTGATCTTTTATTGCATTTGACACAGTACTCTATTGAATAATGTTTTTTTCTATACAAATTCACAAAGATTATCATATTGTTGACATACCACTATGTAAATGTACTTCAACAAATTATCCACCTTGGGTCATTCCCAACCACACCGTACCAGCATGAGATGATACACTAACACATAAGGAAAAAGTGAGTTCATGTACTGATTTAAAGATATGGAAAATCAGCAGAAGCAAATAAACTCCTTATATATGTTCCTCCGAGCAAATGTATGGCACTTCCTGTCTGTGCTCCATGTCATTGATCTTCAGACACAATTTAAAAATAACTCTAGGTTTTCAGATGAATCCACTTGAGATGTTTCACATCAGCATTAGATGTGACTGGAAATAAGAGAACCTTAAGAAAGTTCATTACATATTTCTCAGGTATTCTTTTCAGCGGTAAATAAAACAGCTCATCAGTAGTCAGTATGTGCTGTGAAGTAGCCATCAGTTTGAATGACCATAACTGGTGTCCTGGAATAATGTGTTTCAGACAGAAAAACCAGAGACCTAAACAAACAGTAAATTATGTTAAGGTTTTTGCTTCTCTGCATGAAAAGAAGTCAGCGATTCAGTTAGGAATTGAGAAGGGTATGATGGCTCCTCTGTCAGGTTGTTAAAAAAAATTCAGCGCAGGACATTTTAACAGAATAATTAGCTCAGTCTTATTTACATAATGGTCAGGCACTGGCTTGAAAAAGACTAAAATGGAAATTTGGTGTAATTACACACACATTAACACTGATTTGAATGCTAGTGAGGTGTTTAAAGTAGGCAGTAAATGCAAGAGTTGGCTTACTGATTACCAATAGCAAAATGTAGGTTTGACTAGATGACACAAACAAAAGTCAAATGTTTTTTTTAACAATAAAAGAAACTGAAAGACAACTGAAATAAGCATTACCTGAATTAAATTTTTTCTTCTGAAATACTAATGTGCATATTTAAAATGATTGTTGAATTATTGTATATTGTGGTGATTTTGTAAATACCGACTGTACAGGGGGTATAGTTGTCTTTCTTTTTCTGAGGTTCCAGCAGAGATCGTACTTCTTTACTTCCTCTCCTTCCCCCTTATTATGTCTCTCTCAGGTGGACCTGCTTGTGCCAACCAAGGTCACGGGTGTCATCACCCAGGGAGCTAAAGACTTTGGCCACGTCCAGTTTGTTGGCTCGTACAAAATTGCCTATAGTAACGACGGCAAGTGGTGGACTATATATCAGGATGAGAAACAAGGCAAAGATAAAGTAAGTTGCTTTTACACCACTAAGACTATAAAGTCCAGGACAAATTCATCACCTTAACTGAAGCTATGAATAATGTATTTCACCATGCACACAAAAGTAGAAAAACTGAAGCAAATGTAAATAAAAAATCTATATGTATTAAAACTGAAAATGACAATTTTGAGAGCTGTCCATCTGTCACCGCGGACCCTCCACCCTCTTTTCCCCTGCTGCCTTTTCCTTATCTGTGGCTATAACCGAGGTTGCCTGAGGTCTGTACGATTGCAGTCCCTCCACTTTGACATCAGATAAGACTGTGCCGTCAACCTGGCTCAGCTGATGTTGTCCTATGTCGTGAATCTTGTTTTTATGGCCCTTCAACAAAGTACAGATGTCCATTCCAGTCTACAGCCATGACAGTGACAGTGCACAGCTGCACCAAGCTCAGGGCTGATAGCAGGAAGAGCTGCAGGCATTAACAGCGGCACTGTCCTGTCAGATACTGCTGTTAAGAGCGGTATTGTTTTCTTTTCCCTCTTCAAGGCTAAGCTTTATTTTCAATAAGAAAATAAAGCTTAGCCTGTCCTTACGTTGTTTTGATCGTCCTACTATAACCCTAAACCTGTCCTACTATTAAAACAAAACCCTATAGTATCTATGTGTCAAATACAACTCATACAGGGATGTTGAATAAAATAAGAAAAACACACATTAAACCAAAGAACATCATCCTCTTTTATAATGTTTATTTTAATCTTACTGCAGGTCTTTTCTGGAGTTCCATTGTTTAGAAGTTGCTTCTCTTTGAGCACATGATTTATTGATGATATCAATATTACTGCGTGGTATTTATCCGCTTGTGTGTAAATTTGATCAGGTTCTCCTCAAATACACAGTTGTTTGCAGAAACACTTGCTGCTTCCTCCTTGGATCCGTCTCTTTCCTCCATGCACTGACTGTTTTGTGCTTGCAAACTTTACAATCCCACATTTCTAACCTTTAATAATCAGTCCCGGCCAAGAAAATGCCAGACATGACACTGACTGATGAAAGATTCACTCCACTGTATAAACTGCCTCGATCAATAATCTCAAAAAAACTATTTTTGTTTTGTTGTTGCAATGGGTTTTCTTCTTATTTGATTGAAAAACAATGTTGATAACTCAGTTCCTGCTTGTGGGACATTTTTGTTGCCTTTCATGACTGAATGAAAGTGCCAAGGTCAAAGGAGGACACAGGCTAGTTCCTAACATCCTAAAATCCTATAGTGACCAACACTCATCCTCCATTCCACCGCAGCCCATGTTCTGCAGTATTTGCTCATTAAGGTGTCAGTTATGATGCTTGACTTTCTCGTAAAAAAAAACCCTGATTCAGATTCAGAGTTTGTAGAGCTGTATGTGGTGACTTCAGCCACCATTTCAAAAAGTGTTTTTGTTTGGCTCATCCTGAAATGATGTAGCACTGAGATATTACTTATTTTTTTTAATTGATACCCCTTCAATGGACAGGTATCAATTTAGGCCTTTGTCCTTGTAGCTAAGCCCAGTTTTCCATTGCTGCGGTGAAATCTTTGCTTAGAGAGCTTAGAATTACCACACCGATAGTTATCTGTGAAAATATAGGCCACTGCAGGAACAGCATGATGTTCACTTGACCTTTTTCACCACTGCTTTTCAAAGCATGAAACCCAGATAGAAAAAGAAAGAGAGAAAAGTGTCAGCGACCAATTTGCAACCTTTGATTGGTTTTTAATTTTTGTTTCCAAAAAGTAAAAACCTTGGTTGGTATGAATTTTAAAAACACATTAGTAAAACATGTAAAATTATAATGTTAACGACATTTTTAAGGTATATACTAGATAATATCTTTGGACAAAACATTTGGTAACTGTACAAAAAGGATACATTTCTTTTTTTTTTAATTTATTTTGATTGTATGCAATATCTTTAAATCCAAAAACCAAATGATTTGCCAGGAAATTATGTAAAATGACTTAAATGTAATTTATTTTCACCATAGTGTTCTATAATATTATCCGTATACTGTATATATGCAATTTCACTCATATCATTTATTCTTCAGAAATGGACAGCCGCTCAGTCAGAGTGTGTGTGTTCCATATTAGAAGGCAGAGAGTTTATCAAGCTCCTGAAATGTCAGTCAGTTTATTCCCTGGCAGCTCTAAGGGGCGGTTCAGATATATGAATCTTCAAGGTGTTTTCCCCATCCAGCCAGCTAAACCAGCCATTAATGCTAGAGGACACATTTGGCTGTCGGACTCCCAAGGGTCCTCCTGACACACCACACTGCTCAACATGGCAGTGGTGCATACACGCTCACACGGCGCATGGCTGCCACTGTGTATTTGTGTGCACATGTGGAGCTGTGTTTGCGTTTCCGGATATCTTGGTCGGGCGCAGTGCTGCAGGCTTGTAAGTATTCTTCTCAGCTTCCCCCTCCAGCTCCAATGTGGCACAGGCTGCAGGCAGTAACATCTAGATTGAGGCAGAGAAGGCAGTGCCAGAATGCAGATGTTGTCATAGCAGGCCACGGTGACACACACACACATTCACACATACACATGCACAGTACAAAACTCAGTGCCTTGTTTGCTTCTCCTTCACACAACAACTCCCCCATATTGCTGCAGTTTGAACCGACAACTTACAGTGGGGTCCATTGTTCAAATATAATTACACAGGGATACATTCCATAATTATAGAAATTGGTCTGACTGCATTCTCACCCAGGTCACTCCATTGACTTTACCCCTGTGCCACTGCTCTTTCCTGGGTGTCAATATTTGCAGATGTGATGGGGCCAATCAAGCACTAATGTAATTGACTTATGTCTAATAGTGTTTCACACTAATGACACAGGGTTAATAAGCCATTAGATCCTTCAATTCCCTCCAGGTCAGAGGGTAACTGAATGTTGAATGCTTTTGTGTTCACTTCTTTTGAGGCAACCTTAGCCTGGGAACATGTTTGCTTCGGTGTTTAATGTAACCAAAGATTGAAATAATAACCACAAAAGTATGATTAGCTACTTGTAATACCTAATCATTTATTTTGGGCGTTTGATTCAGTGGAACTCCCTCTGTATTAGCCAGGCTCTTAGGTATGCAGTTCTTGACCCTTTGTTAAGACATGGCTGGGTTTTTTTTTCTTCTGTAAACACAGACGGCTCAGGCCAGAACAGGGCAAAGAGCAAAAAGACCTCAGTGACCTGCTTCACTGACCAGTAGAGTAGGTTTAAATAATAAAGTGCAGGTGAGAGTGGAGTGGAGCATCTCCAGAGACACTCAAGGCCCCACCATTGTACCACATGACTCCACCAGCCTGGAAAATTAATAATTGTGGCTCCTGGGCCTGAGTTAGAACACTAAGAAATTTGTTCAGTCTTATTGTGTTTTGATTGTGTTAACTTACAGGAAATCAATCATGACACTCCCTCTGCTGTTTACAGATATTTAACTAAAGATATGATCTGTAATCTTAGTTTACTGTCTCATTGTTGCTGCGAGAACATTTGAACCAAGCCTATTGTGAAACAATAAAAAATCCAAGATAATACAGGCAGATGGCAGCATCCTTGCAGATACATGTTTTTAATATTTTTAAGAGAGAGGCGCTTTGGCCCAGAGTCAATGTCTCTGTCATTCGTGTGGAACCCCAGGGTTCACCTCCTGGGCAAGTTTGAATCCCGGTTAGGGCGGTTAATACCTTCCAGTGGACTCACCACCTGCAGGAAGGTTTGGGAGGTTGGTACGGTGCTATGTGATCTGGGTGGCAACTGCTGCCCCCGCGACATCCGGTAACGGATAAGTGGATGAAAATGGATGGATGGATGGATATTTTTAAGAGATTTCTGCAGACTACATATTCTAGGTGATAATTATTTTGAACATCTACGTCTTGTCAACAAACAAATTGTCATATTTTAATACAGCTGTTGTGTTAGTGGTTGTTGGTCGACAAGAGTTAACACATTCTGCAATTCTAACCATTGTCAACCCTCGTAGGTCTGTGGTTATTCATTTACACTTACACACGGGGCAGTGGTGGCTTAGTGGTTAAGGAAGTGTACTTGGGCCCAGAAGGCTTCAGGTTCGGGTCCACAAGCTGCCAAGTTACCACTGAGGTGCTCTGAGCATGGCACCGTCCCCACTCACTGCTCCCTGGGTGCTTAAAGCTGCCCACTGTTCACTTTGGTGATGGATTAAATGCAGAGGTCACATTTGGTTGTGTGCAGTGGTGTGCTGTGTCACAATGACAAGGAGTTCGCTTACCTTCCTTAATTTGCACTTATATGCCGATCTAATGTAATTACTGTTTAAGACTGTTTAAATTTAAATGCTTTTTAATGGGCTACTGGACAGATTATCAAGGATTTTTTAAAGATTTTATTTGAATTTTTGATTGCAAATAACTCTGTGGGAAGTATGAAGCTGAAAAAAGTGGAGATTTGAAGTTGAAGAGCAAAGCAGGATCCAGGATTTGCTACATTCACCAAAAAAATATTTTTGGCAGTTTGAATAAGACAAATTTCTTGTCAACATATTTTATTTGCCAGCAGCTAGTAGCATGTAGCGGCTAGTAGTTTCCCAGTGTTTCCATGTGGGCTGACCACGGCTCAGACACAGCAGGTTGAGCCTTTGCAGCAGGAGCTGCCAAGTTCGTAGTTCGCTCTGTTTTATTTTCCCTATGAAACACATTTCAACTTGAGATAATAGTTTGTTGTTTTTAAAGCTGGTTCTGTTGTTATTCCAATTCAATATCTTTTGGTAATTAATGGCAACAAGTATTGTTTTTGAGTTGATTTCCAAACAAACAGAATTAATTAAAAACAAGCTAAGGAGTCCACAATCGAGGTAAAATTATAACGTGACCAAATGTCAAAACAGAAAAGATGAATATGTCAGCAAATAAATAATAGTTTTTATTATGAGTTTTATTTTACCATTACAGGATAAATAAATAATAAAAAAAAATCCCTTAGCCATGTTATATAATGAC